TCCCCTTTGTGAACTTCCTGTTCCAAACAAACTCAGTGCCCTGGCAAATCCTGAGTACTCTCCCACTTTCCTAAGAGGGGGGAAATCGCCAGGCGCCCTCCTCACCCTGGCAACCGCACCTCCCCCGCTGAAACCTGACCCGTTTCCAAGGCCTTCCCTGAATCTCCAGCCAGGAGGGGTTTCTTCTGCCAGCTTCCATACAATTTTCTCTTGATGTTTGCCATTACCATGGCATTCGTCACATGCAAACTTGCTTTACAAATATTTCAATCTTCCTTTCTTTCCTCTTTAACGTTGCATTTTCAGGAGGGCAGGGACTGTGTTTAATTACAATCACTGTTCCTATTTATTGAGCATGTACCTCTGTGCTTACCCCTTAATATGAATTTTCTCTAAACTTATAATAAGCCTGTGAGTAGGTGTTATAATTCTCATTTTATGGATTTCAGTAAAGAGAGATTCAATAGTTTGTCCTGAGTCGCCCAAGTTTTGAGTCACTTAGCCAAGCAAGATCCAAAGACTTTGCTTTTCCTAGCATATCATTCTACTCAATAGTCTTCTCTGAATCTCTTTTGGCACATGGAAAGCTATGGATGGATGGATGGATGGATGGATGGATGGATGGATGGATGGATGGATGGATGTTGAAAATATCCAACTGACCCAAATCCAAAGAGTTACTTTCCTTTATTAGGAGTTCCTTACTTCTACACTGAATTAGGATGTGGAATATAGTTTAATTCTAAATAAGCTTTCCTCAACTATAGAGGAATTCATATTCCCCCAACCTTCAGGTTCAGTCCGACTAAGGTGATGCTTTCAAAACAAAGAATAAGTGGGCATGCCCCAGGCCGCCTACGCAATGCAGACCAGTGGGAGGACTTCAGAGTGACAGGACCCGCTTCACATCCCTCCTCTTGGGACTCACTAAGTCTCTGTCCTTGAACCTGGAGCATCTTCACCTTCCCTTGACCCTGGGCGTCCTCATCTGTAAGGCTGAAGAGCAGCCTCAGCCCCTCCCGGGTGGCAGAGAGAGGGAAGTTGGGGAATGGGGGTGAAAGCTTGGCCCAAGGTTAATAATTGTTCATTTTCTCTAATCTCTAAATCCAAGGAAATTAAGGAACTTTGCTAGCAAAAAGGTGTTGAAAAATAAAACACCAAAAAAAAAAAAGGCTTCTCCCCACTTCCAGCTCAGCATAGGCTACACATCAGCCCACCGTCACCCCTTCACAAAGCCATTCCTTAGGTATTTCTTGACAATTTTATCTCTTTTTTTTTTTGCATCTTCTAAGGCTTGAAATGAAAACAGATTTCAGGTTGTTTCCATGTTTGTGTTGTGGTTGAGGTCTCCAACAAACTCAGAAAGCCTCAGACTTCACCAAAGAGATAAATCCTAGGGAGCTTTAGAAAGTTCACTCGGCGATCACTATCTAAAAGGAAAATTCCTCCCTTGATTTGTCCAAACCCTTCCATTTTAGCCCAAGAGGAAAGCTCAGCTTTTTCTCCACCTGGCCCTATGGATACAATAGCTGGCTATTCCCACGCTCTGCAAGGTTAACTTTCAAACACATGTTTTGGAAGCAAAAGTCCCACGTGCTATGAATGAAACATGTCAGTCATCATTTTTCTGCCCTTCCCCTCTTTGCAGCCCAGGGGCTGAAATCACCTGTTGTCTTGGAAATAATCCTTGGAGGATCAAGTCCAAGAGGAAAAGTGGCCTGGTCGCCCCAGTCCGGGTTACCTAAGCTCCATGCTAACTGGAGACAGGAAGCCCCACGTCCTGCAGCCTCATTCGCAATCCATAAGAGATGATGTTCCTGGGGCCCAGGTTGAGCAAGGGAGTTAGCGGTGCACATTTTGGCAAAGATGCGGCCCTGGGATTCGGTCTGAGCAGCTATAACATGAAATAATAAAGTACGAGTGCAAACGGCAAAAACGCGCCCACATCACAGCCCAGAGTGTGCCAAGGCTGACCGAATAATGACACATTTTTCGTGTTTGAATAAGGTACTTAACTGGCATTCGGTGGGACGCCGCTGGGTAAGGGCTCTCGGCGTCAGCGCTGGCGAGGAGCCCACACCCTGCGACCTGGCAGTTCCCCATCTCCTCCATTAGCTCAAACCACATGGAGAGATGAGAGCAGGACAAATGAGACACCTTCCTTTTTTTCCACGTATATTGGAGTTCGCCCAGGAAAAAAGCAGGGCAGGTTGATGAAAAGTGTAGGCAAGTGTTCCCAGCCTCTCCACTGTGTGCTCGGCTGGGGAAATCATAAAACCGCAGTCATCTGAACAGCCGTTTATAGTTTACAGGCGCTTTTCAAATATATTCTCTTAATCCTCATACAATGTGCTAGGGAACGCATTTTTATGGCCCCTCCTTTTACAGATATACAAATGGAGGTTCAGAGAGGTTGAGGGACTTGCCTAAGGATAAACAGCCAGTAAGTGCCAGCAGCAAGGGGGCTGGATCCAGTCCCTTCTGCCTCTCGCACCTGTGCTGTGGGCTGCCTCCCCTTCACCCAGGCACTCATGGGTCAGTCTGATTTTCTGCCCTAATTCCAAGCTGTAAAGGCCAGGAATTTGGGAAATGTCTGGGTAGAAGTCTGATTCTTACACCTTTAGGACAGAGATAAAGCTATGAAGGAAGGAAAAATGATTTACCCCTTCCCAATTTGTGCAGGAAAAGGTGATAGGCAGGAAACTGGTATTTCTTAGTGACTTTGTTATTTTATGCCCCCAAAAAGGCAGAAATGGTGATGTTCTCTAGTAGGGGGACTTCTGCAATCACGTCACAGGGATATTTTGTTATGCACGTGCTTGCTCTTTCTGGCCCCCTGTTCTCTTTCCTCCTTCCCTTGGCGATGTTCTGGGGCACTCCCCAAAGACATGAGCACTGAGACCTGAGCTCTCATTCGGTGCAAACCTATCCACTGTCTTCCTTGAATGTTTGGGAAGCAATACAAAGCCTTCTGCCTGTCACCTTTGTGCACAGGAGAGAGGAATTGGTTTGAAATGGTAAGAACTTTGGTATCTTCAGTTGAGAGCGTTTCACCTAACCCCTTCTCAGAAACGACGTGGGCTGACCTGGCTTAAGTCCATGGGCAGGGGGAGGGTAACAGGGCATCAGATCTAGCACGAAAGATTATTCCATGGAATACATGATCTGGGTTCTCTTTCTTTTCTTTTCTTTTTTTTTTTTTTAATAAGTATTTCAGAGTTCTGATTTCTGCTATTGGAGACAAGAACAGGGCTCATGGAGGCATTTTGTGGGGGCCAAACCAGGAACCCAGGCAAATTCTGATCAACCAGAGTGTTCACAAGAAGCTTGTTCCTGTTATTTTAATGTGCTGGTTAACTGGGAACTAAGTAGGATCTAGAGAGCATAATTAAATCTTTCTTTGATAAATGAGACTCTTGTAGTGATCATTCTAAATATCAATTATAAATTCTTATAATCTTGGGAATATGGAAGATTGAGCCCAACCTGCAGTGCCTTCCAGGCTAACTACAGGACACTCATTTTTCCTAAACCCTTAATACCAACTTATTATTTTCCTCTTTTCGGTAGATAGTTTGTGCGAGGAAAGTTCTGTTTATAGGAGGCTTTCAGTTGTTTGAATCCCAGTTAATCAAGATTTCCATCTAACAGTTCAGAAATGAGAAGGACTCTCAGAATTTTGCCTTGTTACACGTGATTAGTAAATCAAATCTAGCCAGATAAAAATTCATAGATTTGTCTTGCAAATTTGTTTTGAGGTCCACTGCCACCCCCGGGAGCCCTGGCCAGATACGTTCTTGCCGTGTGTGCGTCACGGAGTCGACTGGATCGTGAAGTCCTTCAGCGCTCATCTCGGCTCCCCTACTAAACAGTCACATGACATCAAGGAACCTGTTTCACTTCTGAGACTCAGTTTCCTTATCTGTACCCCTCAAGGTTGGATTTACCGGTTTTTTAAACTTTTTAGGGATACAGATCTCCTTAAGAACCAGAGGAAAACTAAGAAAGCTTTTCACAGCAGGGGAAAAGGAAGGTAAGTAGAAAACGTTCACATTCTAAATAGGGGAACAGGGTCACGGACGCCCTGATGCCCACCACCTTGTGGCCTCCGACAGTGAACCTCGAGTTTAAGATCCTGGGGGTAGAAGACCCCTTGGGCTTCTGTGAGTGCTGGCGTCCTCTGACTCCAGCTAAATGCACGCAGCTCGCCAAGCACAGAGTAGTGGTTCTCAGCCTTAGCTGCACATTGAGACCCCCCCCCAGGAAGTTTTCAGACTCCAGTGCCCAAGTTGCTCCCCAGAACAGTGAAATCTGCATCTTTGGAGGTGGGTCCCAGGTGTCAGTATTTGTTACCACTCCCCAGATGGTTCCAGTGTGCAAATTTGCAAACCCTGCTCTAGAATAAGGATTCTCAAAATTAGAAGTGACTAGAATCACCCAGGTGGAAGGCAGATTCCCAGGATCCTGCTCCTAGTAATGCAGATGCCTCTGGCCAGACCCTGCCTGGGAATGTGCCCTGTTAGCCGGCATCCCGTCTATATGCTGCTGTAGAACACTGTTTGGGAGCTAGTCCTGCAGCCATTTAGCAGGAGAAACCCAGAGGAGTCCTCTCCTTAGCTGTCCCTGTCCTCCCAGGCAGCTCTACGTGCTCTCAGCAGCTCTCCAGCCTGGTGCAGGGACAGCTTTAACAGGCCCCCTTCATTTGCCAGATGGTTTTTTTTTTTTCTCCATCTTTCCTGTCTCTAGCAAACCTGGATCTTTTAGCCAGACCTTCCGATCCCACCAGGTTCAATAATTTAAGCAGAACAGTCCTCAACATCGTCACGTTTAACATTTAAACGCCGTAGCATCACTTCGGTCAGCTTCAAGGTGAGAGCCAACTCCTGTGTTCCGCCCGTCAGCAAACCCAGCAGAGGGGACTGCGTGTGCACGGTCCCACGGCGTGCCGGCCGGGCAGAGACCCGCCTGCGAGCTTCTGCACCCACCCTACCCTCTCCTACCTGAAGCGTGCGCAGCAGGACCTGCAGCCCGCTGGCTTTTTGTTCGGCCATCTCCTCCCGGGGTCCCGGGGAGCCGCTGCCTGAGGCCAGCTCCAGGTTGGAGAGGCAGCGGCTGCCGGGCTGACCTCCGCTGCCCGCCTCGCAGGAGACGGCTGCACAGAGGCCTCAGCTGCACATGCTGCTGCGTGTGAAGTCACCGCAGTGCAACCCTAGACCTCGGCACAGGCGCGATTGCCCCCCGACTCCCACTGTGGGGATTAGGCGAGCCCCGGCTGCGGGGAGGGCCGAGCATTTGGGCACAGAGGTAGGGAGGGCACTGGCGTGAGTCACTCACCCACCTCCAGGCCCATGCAGGAGCCGGGCGAAGGAGAAGCCACCCTGGACGGCTGACAGGCATTCCCAGCTGACCTGGTCAGACTCCCTCCAGAGGCTCGCTCAGCTCCCCGCTGCCCCCCTCCACCCCTTTATTTTGGTCTGTTGCCGCCTCCCGGGTAACAGGAGACCCAAGAGTGCTTGCACAACTGTGGCAGTTCAGGGCACAGAAGCCCAGGGCCCCCTGAGGTCCCAGGCTTAGGGACAGGAGCTCTGGCTGAGAAGGAAAATACCTACTCTGGACATGTTAGCGGACCAGGCCCCTTACACAGTCCTTTAATTTTCACAGTAGCCCTATAAGGGTGGGTACTATTATTGCCACCCCCGTCCCTGCCTTACAAACGAGAAAACCGCATCACTGAAATATTAAGCCACAAGAACACAGAGCTTAGGAGCGCATGTCGGGCCTCAAACAGGCAAGCTGGCTCCAAGCACAAGCACTAACCATTACACCATCCTGCCTTTGGCTGCTACAGGCACTTTGGTCAAAGTAGTGGAGGGTAGATGCCCTGGGTGAGCTTCCCCCAAATCAGCGTAGGATTCCGCATCCCTTTCCGTGTCTTTTGCTGGAGACGTGTGGGAAGAGTTTAGCACCCAGCTTCTCCTTCCCACGTCAACACCTCAGCGTCGTGGAGTCCTTCACATGCTGGCTTCTCAAAGTGCCCTCGAGGAGTCACCTGGAAGCTTGTTAGGCCCCACCCCAGATCTCCTGAATCTGAGTCTACATTTTTAACAAGACCCCTGAGGGTATTCAGAGCCGGTTAACAAAATGACCAGAGGATTAAAGTTTGGAAATCTCTGATTTTGACTATGTTGATTACGTTGCGGGAACAGTCTGCTGTGTTGGACAAGTCTGACAAGTTTTGACCCAGTAACTAGCACTCAGCAAGCTCAAAGCACAGCTTTGATGTGCGAAATCAGATTGCGGAGCTCAGTGGGTTCCTGACTGACTGCAGGGCTGGGTGGAGGAGCCTCAGCCACTGGGGAGGGAGCTTCCAGCCAGCACCCCGGTGCTGAGTTTGGGGGGGCTTTCATGAGCATCGAAAGCATTCCGCTGGCAGCTGCCCAAGCACCTGTGCCCACTGAGGAAAAAGAGTTTGCATTTCCAGACCCTGCTTGGCCTAAGTGTTCTGAAGTCCCAAGTCAGGGGTCAGGCCTGGCCAAGCCCCTCAACTCAAGGGCAAATGCATGTGGTTCCTGCCCTCGAGAAACTTCCACTCTGGATGGCTTTATATGTGAAGACCTCCCACCTTGGGAAGTGACTATGAAAGCTCATATTTACAGAGTGGAGGTGGGGTGGGGGTGGACCCCCCTCTCCCCTCCCCTTCCCCGCTGTCTCCCTACACTTCCTAACACCTCTGATGACAGGAGGTAGAAATAAAAGCTCCCCAAGGGTTTCTGCCTTCTGTGGGAGGTCGAAGCTTTTTAGGGCCTGTGTTCTCCGATCCTCTAAGGTCCTGTCACGGTGGAGTGAAGACGGGACTGTCCCGTGCGATTACCTTAGCGGCAGATTATTCTGTGGTCCTCTACTAGAGGATAAAGAGAAGAGAGCCCTGGGGAAGGAAAAATAGAACCTTTCTCCCTACATAAACTTAAAGTATAGTTTAAAGATAAAAACACCTTTGCAATGAGAAGTCACAAAAACGACCTTCAAGGAGAGAAGTCAAGGTGGTGAGTTCACACTCCTGAGCGTTGGCATTGAAATAAAACTGTCTCCATGTTAAAGAGCATCTTGGTTCAGCTCCCTGGAACTGCACGGGGCAGAGGTGAGGTCACAGCCCGGTATGGAAAAACATCACACTCTTACTTAATGACATCTTCCCCGCTGCAGGGCCAAGGGCCTGGTTTTCAGCTGACCCCCTGTGAAATGCGGAAAGGAGTGAGCCGTCTCTTTCCTTGGTGACACGCGCCCCACTTGGCCGCCCTCGCCCCCATGCCTGGCAGGCCTCCCTCCTCTGCGAAGGCATTGCCCACCTGTCCGCGTGGACACACGCAGACGCCAGACAAGGAGCACAGTGCTGGTTCTAACCCTGATTTTCTAACAGAGTGAGGGGGAAGGTCCAGCTTGCTGCCAGCTCCCCGCCACACCTCCAGCGCTCTGCCTCCTTACACCCGACAGAGCCTGGTGGGGACCCCAGCACCCCCGCTCCCTGCCTAGCGGAGCCCTCTCCACGCTCACCCTGAGGGAGAGCCCCAGCAGTGCCCCGTCCAAACTTCCGTCTCCCGACTGCTGTTTTTCTTTTTTATTATTATTATTTTTATTCTTTTTTTAGTTTTGTCAATACGTTTTAATTTTTATTTTATTTTAGCGTATTATGGGGGTACGAGTGTTAAGGTTATGTTTCCCATGCCCCCTCTCCCTCCTCTAGTCAGAGCTTCAAGCGTGTCCATCCCCCAAACGTTGAACCTCTTACTCGTTGTGTTTGTGTATACCCATCCCCTCCTCCCCCCTCCCACCTGCCCGACACCCGATAAACGTTATTCCTATATGTCCACTTAGGTGTTGATCCGTTAATACCAATTTGCTGGTGAGTACAGGTGGTCCTTGTTTTTCCATTCTTGAGATACTTCACTTAAGTAGAATGGGTTCCAGCTCTATCCAGGAAAATACAAGAGGTGCTATATCACCGTTGTTTCTTAAAGCTGAGTAGTGTCTTGATGAAAGCCCAGTTCTGTTAGCGGACTGAAGTATTAATATAAATGGGTGATAGCAGATAGCAAGCTCTTGCCCAGTCAACATTTGGATTTTAGTAGCGACCTTCCTAAAAGGCAGGAGCTGAGATGCAGGCTTGGACTCCTCCTGGGCAAAACAACATCTTCCCCAGAGTGGATTCGAATGAGCACTCATCAAACCAGCTGGAGGAGCCTCGAGGGGTGGCTCAGTCCCTGGGAAAGGCCAGCGAGGAGGCTGCTTTGTGCTTTGCACTTGTTTTATATTTTGTCTTTTGAAGGAGGCATTTAGGGAAGCCAGGGAGCGGATCCAAACAGAAGCCCGAGAAAACTCAGTCCTCTGGCTTCAAAGGAAGACACGCTTAATGTCATCTAGAGATTCTTGTTGCAGCTGGGGAGTCCCCAGGACCACCTTCAGGTTCGGTGCTTTGCTAGAGTGACTCACTGTGCCAGAGTGACTCAGAGACACCATTATACTCACCGTTACGGTTTATCGCTGTGAAAGGAGACGGATCAAAATCAGCAAAAGGAAGAGGCACACAGAGCCGAGTCCAGGGGGGACCAGGCACGAGCTGCCAGCTGTCCTCTCCCCGTGGAGCTGTGCGGACGGCACTTCCTGCAACAACGTGAGCAACGCACACAGAGAGTACTGCTGAGCAGGGAAGCTCACCCAAGCCTTGGTGTCCAGGGTTTTTGTGGGGGCTTGTTCATGTCTCCAGCCCTCCAGAGTTCAAGCTGACACTCTGTGGCCCAAGGTCCCCGCCATGCAGCACACATGGACTATCCAGCCTGGTCCGGACCCGGGGGTAAACAAAGGCACTCATCAGACAGGATGTTGCAAGGGCTTGGAGATTACATCCCAGGAGCTGGGCAAGGGCCAAACCTTTCTTTGGGCAAGATTAATCCTTTGCTGCACACCTGCCCTCTTAACCCATAATCTCAGGCCCAAGACTCTCAAATCTTGTGAATAAGGTGGGGAAATAAGTGCAGGGCCGTACAACTGGGAAGATTCAATAACTAGTAGAACGCCAGAGTCAAAGAGTGGTAATTAGTCAATCGACACTGATGTAGAGGGCTTTCTAGTAGCATCTAGTAGCATCAGCCCCCTGGCTCTTTTCTATTCAACATTTTTATCAATGACTTGGATGAAAATAAAGCCTACATGCTTATCAAATTTTCTGATGACACTCAGTTAAGATAGAAATATGTCAGATGACAGAGCTGGAATCCAAGAAGATTTCAACAGCCTTGAGTGATGGACCGGATCCTACAGGGTGAAATATAACAGAGCCAGGAGTAGAAGCTCCCCCAACCCCTCGGGTCCCAGCTACCATCTGTGCAAAAATAAAGGTTGGGAGGCTTGGCTCCACAGTGTTGAATGTGGCAAAGGCTTGGGGGTGCAGCCAGAGGCGAGACCAGTATGACCCCATATCCCCAGCATGGCCCCATGGCCCCAAAGTGTCTTTTCAATGTAAGGTCACCACCTGTAAAAGGGGGGTAAACATTGTATCTGTGACCATGATGGCAGTGAGGCTGAACTGAGAGGGGAAAGGCTGGAGCTGCAAAAGCCTCTGGAAGGGAAATTCTCAGTGGACTTAAATTCATAAATGACAAGAGGGATTTATTTCCCGGCAAGGAGAGAGGGTCCGCAGCAGGAGAGCGGGCCCTGCAGTGAGGGTGGGAGCACAGCCTCCAAGAGCCTTAGCTGGGCCTTGAAGGATGCAGTGACCTGGTGCTCAGGTACGCAGGGTACCAAAGAAGAGGCACAAGAATAAAGAGTGTCTACACCTCTGCACGTGGGACCCGCTCTTCCGACAGCCCCTCCGCACTCTAAACCCAGAGCAGCTGGGTTCAAACTTTCGCTCCCTTGCCTACTAGCTATGTGAGTTTGGGAAAGTTACCTGAGCTCTCCGTGTCTCGGTTTTCTCATCTGTTAAGTGGGGGGATGATAATGCTTACGTCACAGGGTTACTGGGAGGATTAATTGGAGCAACACAGCGTTCTTACCATAGCACTTGCCATCTAGTGAGCACTCAATAAATGCATTTGTTGATATAATTGTGATTGTTAGTACCATTGTTACAGATTCGATAATACC